TTGTCAGCACCATACCTGTGCTGAGAAAGTTTCACCAAAGCGGTGGAGCGGTCGGGTAGCCTAGTGGTTAAAGCGTTCGCTCGTCACGCCAAAGACCCGGGTTCGATTCCCAACATGGGTATAATATGTGAAGCCCATTTCTAGTGTCCCCCACGGTGATATTGCTGGAATATTGCTAAAAGCGGCGTCAAACCATACTCACTCACTCACTCACCAAAGCGGTACACGTCTGAGACCTGCATCACTTTGGGCTGTCTTCCTGCTGACCTGACCTGATATAACTGTTCAAACTAAACTTACACACCCACCTTTTGTCATGAAAAAAATATTTGACTTTATGTGTTTCACGCAGACTGGTACCCGACATTAAGAGTAATTTCAGCCAAGGGAAATATTGATTTTATATTCGAAATACATATAACTAAATGAATAATGCATGTGTGATTTCTTCTGTAGATACTGCGAAGCCACGTATTACTATAGCATGTCCACATACAAAAATGTATAAGACTGAAGTCAGATGGGTAAACACAACCGTAAACCGAAAATACACAGCCGCAAATAAGGATTTATATAAGAGGCTATAGAGACCAAAGGCTGAGGAAATACATCGGAAAACAGGAAATAACCACTTTGATGAAACGGGGGTTGATATCGCATCGATGTGGTGTCATTGAGAGAATGGCCTTGGAGAATGACGTCATTAAACAGTCGGAGCGACATATCTGGCAGGAAACGAGCCATTGATTTCAGACCAAGCCAAACGTGTTATTTCTATTATTATTCTGGTGAAAATCGTAACTCCACTGAGCCTGTGTATAGTTTAAGTGTACGACACAGAATAAGAGCTACCACTGATCTTGGCTCCCTCAGTTCTGTTTCAGTTAGGGTTGGTTGGATGGTTTGTTGTTTAACGCCACACTCAGCAACATTCCAGCTATGTGACGGCGGTCTGTAAATAATCGTGTCTGGACAAGGCAATCCAGTGATAACTATCATGAGCATCGATCCAAGTAATTTGGATCGATGACATGCATCAACCAAGTCAGCGAGCCTGACCACCCGATCCCATTAGTCGCCTTTTACGACAAGCTTAGTCACCTTTTACGGCCAGCATGGGTTGCTGAAGACCTATTCTAACCCGGAATCTTCACGGGTCCAGTTAGGGTTGGACCATTTGATGAGGATGGGATTTTATGGAAAAAAATCAATTGTCCAGAAAAATCTTGAAAAATATATTTATGCTTTAGATTGTTAAAAAAAATATCAGCAGTCGTAAAACTTTACATTGTTGATAGAATGTTTCTTTCAAAAGTACCCAGGCTCATTGATTTAATAATATGTCTGGTTTTGCAGCTGTAAGTGAAAAAACACCTTTCTTCGATCATAATGCTACATGTAACTCTGCCCGGGCATGTCGTGTTGGCGTGACCAGGCAGCATGTGGGCGGATTACAACAGGTGTCACAGACAGATAACGATGTGCGTGACAACGTGCTGGGCGGCCGAAATTATCGCCACGTAACCGCTGCTCACATAGTGGGCCACAACCACGCCAGGGTGTGTTATGGGTGGCGACTTGGACGGCGCATACCTCCTGTATTTTTACAGAAACGTACTAATTTACTTTGGAGTAACGGTCGTAGTTTACGGTCGGTTTCGCTTACTCATCGTAACCTGGGAACCAGGGTCCCCCTTCACAAAGCGATCTTAGCGCTACGAATATCGTAAGCCATTGGAGTTATGGTCACCCTAGCTCTACGAATATCGTAAGTCATTGGACTTACGATCACCTTAGCGCTACGAATACCGTAAGTCATTGGACTTACGATCACCTTAGCGCTACGAATATCGTAAGTCATTGGAGTTGCGATGACCTTAGCGCTAAGATTGCTGTGTTTAACGGACCCTGGTTACTTTGCATCGTCGAACACACATCTGCAAGGAATTAGTCCAAGTGTAAGCGTCCATTTAATTGCTGGAATCGGCCTTTGGTTGGTGGTCTCACTTTTGAGTATTGAGTGTCGCTGGTGGTTGATGGTGGTACCAGAGGTCAGCACCTCTGAAGTTTGATGTCTAGTGTCAGAAAATGCGCTCTTTTGCGGTAATGATTCGAACCCCAATAGGAGGTAATCAGAGGTGAAAACAAACAGAAAGAAAACATAATAATAAATTATCCTTATTTTTTTATACCTGTTGCGTGCACAAATTTCCAGCTTTAGGTTCCACAGCAACGATGTCTTTACAACACAGTTTGACCCGTGAAGATTCCGGGGTAGAATAGATCTTCAGCAACCCATGCTTGCCGTAAAAGGCGACTATGCTTGTCGTAAAAGGCGACTAACGGGATCGGGTGGTCAGGCTCGCTGACTTGGTTGATGCATGTCATCGATCCCAATTGCGTGGATCGATGCTTATGATATTAATCACTGGATTGTCTGGTCCAGACTCGATTATTTACAGACCGCCTTCATATAGCTGGAATATTGCTGAGTGCGGCGTTAAACAACAAACCAAACCCAAACCAAATACAACACAGTTATAGCCGTGTGTCAGCTGGGTGTGTTGGGAGAGACTGCATGTGTTAATTAATATGAAGAACAAACGAGTGCGGGCATGGTGCTGACACACCACAGATCGTACCGGGGAAAAACTGAGCATCGGAGTCAGATCGCCGCCATCTAGGTGGTTTATTGCTGAGTGCGGCGGCGTAAAACAACAGTTCTTCACAAAAAGCACAAGCCACATTTCGGGCCATCGGGGTAATCAGTCATGCGACCTTGACCACCCGATCCTCTTTAGTGTTTTTTTGTTTGTTGTTTAACGCCGCACTCCGCAATATTCCAGCTATATGACGGCGGTCTGTAAATAATCGAGTCTGAACAAGACAATCAAGTGACTGACATCATGAACATCGATCCACGCAATTGGGAAAAGATGACATGCATCAACCAAGTCAGCGAGCCTGACCACCCGATCCCGTTTATCGCCTCTTACGACAAGTATAGTAGTTTTACGGCAAGCACGGGTTGCTGAAGACCTTTTCTACCCCGGATCTTCACGGGTCTCCTCTTTTGTGTGCGTGGGACACCAAAGACATATTCTCTTCCGCAAAACCCTAAGGGGCCTTTGCTCTGGAAATGATTTTAAATAATGCCACAAAATGCCACATTCTCGGGTTGATGTAGAATATCTGAGGATTCGCAGTTTTAGCAGCGTTCTTTAGTGAGTGAGTTTAGTTTAACGCCGCTTTTAACAGTATTCCAGTTATATCGCGGCGTGTCAGCTTAATGTGGGAGGAAAGCCCGAAGTGATGCAGGTCTCAGACGTTTACCACTTCGGTGAAACCCACGAGCACGGGCATGGTGCTGACAAACCTAGAAACATAATCGGGGCGAACCGGGATTCGAGCCCACAATCATAGGTTTCTGTCGTGTTCAAGGGACGCAACTCTGCACAGCGAATCGCGGCGCCTTAGACGACTGGGCCAGCCGTGCCCCCCAGCGTTCTTTAGACTAGCGATTGGCATTTTTAAAAGGTGATAGATAATTTGAGAAACATTTTAAGCGTCTTTCAAGTAAGCCAGCAGTACTTGTCTTGGGGAGTAGGAATATGAGTTGGTGTAATCCCACCGTCCTTATGGCCACAGCATGCAATATTCAGTAGCCCGTATCGGACATAAGACAATCTTGACACTGATGAAAGCCTGTCTTCTCTTCTTGAATGACAATCTGCTGACTCTTCATTGCTGCTATATATATCCCTCACAGCTTGTATCTTTCAGCTGGAGCGATGAATTATCGGCTTTGTTGAGGTCGTGTGGCTTTCAATGTCACTCACAACGCGAACCAGGAAATACGATGTGAGAGAAAACGTGAAAAAAATTACAGTCTGCAAACAAACCGCGAGGCGACTTAACCAGGCAACTCAGGTAGGGCCATTTGTATTCGGGGGAACGGTAATAAGGAAGATATTTCGTTTGAAATGTTAAACATGGCTGACATGTTTGTTTCGCTTGTCTGTCACTTGAACAATTAACGGAAATCCTCCCCTTGACATGCTTCTCTGATTGTCACGATCACGTGATTGTTCAAAGACACCGCCTTTATTCTGACAAAGTCGTTATTATCCCGTGCCACAAAACGATCGGAGCGCTACGTACGACTGACGTAAGTCTATGTTAAAGTATGGAAGTCGCGACACCTTATCGCTACGACTGTCGTAAGTCTATGTTAAAGTATGGAAGTCGCGACACCTTATCGCTACGACTGTCGTAGGTCTATGTTAAAGTATGGAAGTCGCGACACCTTAGCGCTACGACTGTCGTAAGTCTATGTTAAAGTATGGAAGTCGCGACACCTTATCGCTACGACTGTCGTAAGTCTATGTTAAAGTATGGAAGTCGCGACACCTTATCGCTACGACTGTCGTAAGTCTATGTTAAAGTATGGGAGTCGCGACACCTTATCGCTACGACTGTCGTAAGACTATGTTAAAGTATGGGAGTCGCGACAACTTATCGCTACGACTGTCGTAAGACTATGTTTAAGTATGGAAGTCGTGACACCTTATCGCTACGACTGTCGTAAGACTATGTTAAAGTATGGGAGTCGCGACACCTTATCGCTACGACTGTCGTAGGTCTATGTTAAAGTATGGGAGTCGCGACAACTTATCGCTACGACTGTCGTAAGACTATGTTTAAGTATGGAAGTCGTGACACCTTATCGCTACGACTGTCGTAAGACTATGTTAAAGTATGGGAGTCGCGACACCTTATCGCTACGACTGTCGTAGGTCTATGTTAAAGTATGGGAGTCGCGACACCTTATCGCTACGACTGTCGTAAGTCTATGTTAAAGTATGGGAGTCGCGACCCCTTATCGCTACGACTGTCGTACGTCTATGTTAAAGTATGGGAGTCGCGACACCTTATCGCCACGACTGTCGTAAGTCTATGTTAAAGTATGTGTAGATACAAGAAACACAAACTTCTGACACTCGCACCCACAGGGAATTTTATTACATGATGTTGAGCGTTAATCACAAGGTTCAGTACAAACGTTGAACAATATCCATTCAGATATAATCGTTGGTGAAGGAGTTGAATTGAACAGCTGACGTTGAACGGTAAAGACGACTCAAAATACAACTTCAAACTATGTTTACGTTCTAAGGCGTTATAATGAGGCAATTTCAGTCTCGTTATAAGACGACTATCTTTGTTTACATTGTTTACGTTGAATACGTTGGTGGGTGAGGTTCAGAAAACTAAAATAGAAAGAAAATACAATCCTTACTTTAGGCTGAACCAATTAAATAGTCAAAATTACAAATTTAAAAGAATAACAAACAACTGTCTGACAAAATACTCAAAATTGCTTACAACTGCCAAATGGTTACTGAATTGAAGTTATAAATGCATTGAGCACTTGAGAGATAAAATAATATTAACTTTGGCATTGAAAAATATGAGTTTACTTACATTTGTGTTGCTTTACACTTTAGAGAATGTAACCGTGGTCCTAACAAGATGGAGATTTGACTGATTGTGTGGGGAACATGTGCTTTTTAGATCATGTGACTTGAAATGGAATTGAGGCTGTAAACAAGTAATTAATTTATCTGCAAAAGTTTATTGAGAAATGGGGATTTGAACTCACAATGTCTAGCTTTCAAAGGTCATGTGACATATTATGACCAAACACTTTATCCACTAAGCCAAAGTGAGGAGGTTCAAATGAAGATGACTTTAAGTGGACCAAATATTTAACTAAGAAAAACTTTGTTTTTTAAAAATAAATGAAACTTAAACCATTACCAAAATATAGAAAATGAACTTTAAACAAAACTCTTGAAACAGATGAAAAACACCATTTCTGCATTTACATACTCGGCCTCTTAAACATACATGTTTAACCTAACTACTAAATGCAGAATATAAATAATCAACCATTCCAATCAATTGTCTTTTAGAGTCTCTGAATCACATAACTGCAATGTCAATTAAACACTGATTAGTTCACTTTTCACTTGGTACCAGCAAAACAAGTTTGGTCACTGGTCGACGTAGTTCAGAGTTCAGAGTCTTTATCTGAACACTGCGGATAAAGCCATCTTTATCGGCCTCTACACTGATCACACGTCCCATAGACCAGCAGGATCTATGGAGATTGTCATCTTTGACGAGCACAATGTCGTTGATCATCAGATTGCGTTGAGGTGTATTCCACTTCTGGCGTTCTTGTAGAGAGAGCAGATACTCCTTTTTCCATCTTGTCCAGAACACGTTGGCAAGATACTGGATTCTGCGCCATCGCCGACGCATGTACATATCGTCTCGTTGAAACTGTCCAGGAGGAGCTACATATACGTTGGACTTCATCTTTAGCAGATGATTTGGTGACAATGGAGTGAGGTCTCTGGGATCACTGGAAGGTGTTGTCAGAGGTCTTGAGTTGATTATCTCTTCAACTTCACACATCAAGGTTCTGAATGACTCGTCCTCAATTCTATCTCCAAACTCACACAGCATTGGAGCCAGAACCTTTCTAACTGATCGCACCATCCTTTCCCAGGCCCCTCCCATGTGGCTAGCTGATGGTGGGATGAAGTGCCAGTCTATGTTGACTTTTAGCAGATGAGATTTCACAAGTTCATATTCTAAAAAGGACTATTCTGCATCGTCTTCTCAGAAACAACAAGCGTGTTTTATGTGTTCTATTGATCACCAAGGGATGGTCCCCTGAAAGTCCCGACCTGCACGTTATTATTTGAGACGTAATTGCAACATATATGTTTCTATTGAAAACATAAAAATTAGTATATTTAAAAAATACATTCATATTTACTTCATTGCATAAAAGATAAGATAAGATTTGAAATGTTTATCAATATATTAACTTCATTTCACAATAAAAATGAATATTGCTTTGGCAGAAATGGGTTTTTACTCCTTAAGGAGGCACGGGTGGCCCAATCGTATAAGGCGATGGATTTCGCTGTGCAGAGTTGCGACCCTTAGGCTTGCCAGGAACCCATGATCGTGGTTTCGATCGTCCTGATTATGCTTCTAGAGTTGTCAGCACAACACCCGTGATCGTAGGTTTAACTGGTGTTTCAGACATCCATCACTTCTGGTTTTCCTCCCGCATCAATCCGACAGGCCGTGATATAACTGGAAGTTTATTAAAAACGGCGTTTAACCAAATTCTCTCACTCTTAACACTACACACTCCAACGGCTGATATTTCACTACCTGTGTATGTTTCCAGGTTTGTCAGCACCATACCCGTGCTCGTAGATTTCATCAAAGTGATAAACGTCTGACACCTGCATCACTTCGGGTTTTCCAAAGTTTCCCAACGTTAAGTTGACAAGCGGGGATAAACATGTAACTGGAATACTGTTCAAAACGGCGTTAAAACCAACTCACTCACTCACTCAGTACCTCACTACCTGTGATCTCTCGGTTGTGTGCGGTCCAGATCGTCAACAGATGGACCCGACACCTCCCTCATCACAATCAATGGCTTTTTATATAGCTGCATTTACGGTTGGCTTGCGTCACGTGTTGACTAATAATACGATTTGTCCTTCAGGTAGTTGGTGGTGACACCAGATGACAAATACATCTGTGATTGTGACGTACTTTCATACCAATAACCGGATTTTGAGATATCATTGGATAGTCATGTGCATAAAAAATGATTTTCTCGTTATTTCGATTTTTTTCGTAATTTCAATTTATTTAAAAAAAAACGGAATTTCGATTTTTATACATAAACATGAAATAAGGAGAGACATAATCGAAATAACGAGAAAATAATCGATGTCACGGGAGAATAACTTCACGCTTATAGAAAGAACTCAAAATATCGAGAAAATAATTGAAAAAGCGAGAAATTTCGATTTAATAATAAATAAAATTATGCTACCAAGGTGGCACCATTAGGCTTTCGTACTCGACAGCCTGCGGCTCTCTCACGTTGCATTTACTCTACATGTATATCCTCATTCGTGGCCAACTCGTGTTATTCCGGGACAAGCCGAATCTTCTTGCAGGTTACGGAAAGAGGCGAGTGGTGACGAATGGTATATCTAAGAGAACCATCGTTTTGGCACTCGATTTTGCACAGTTATTTCCCAATCACGCGACGGACGTTGGTTATTATCTAATAATAATCGTAGACCTAACTTGAAATACGAGTTCTGTGATTTCTTAATATATATATTTCCTTCATTGTTATCATGTAATTTTGTAACCGCTGACGTGGCCTTGTGAGAAGAGACGATTTAACGTCTCACAAGAATGGCAAAGTGAGACATCAGCATCAATAACAGCAGTAACATCGAAATCAGTAATATCGCCACCAGCACCATCAACATCAGCAAATTCGACACCGGCAACATCGACAATAGTAACATTGACACTAGGAACATCGATACCAGCAACATCGACACTAGTAACATTGACACCAGTACCATCAACATCAGCAACATCGACACCAGCAACATCAACATCAGCAACATCGACACTAGTAACATCAATACCAGCACCATCAACACCAGTAACATCGATACCAGCAACATCGACACTAGTAACATTGACACTAGTAACATTGACACTAGTAACATTGACACCAGTAACATCGACACCAGTAACATCGATACCAGCAACATCGACACTAGTAACATTGACACCAGTAACATCGACACCAGTAACATCGACACCAGTAACATCGACACTAGTAACATTGACACCAGTAACATCGACACTAGTAACATTGACACCAGTAACATCGATACAAGTAACATCGATACAAGTAACATCGACACTAGTAACATCGATACAAGTAACATCGATACAAGTAACATTGACACCAGTAACATCGATACAAGTAACATCGATACAAGTAACATTGACACCAGTAACATCGATACAAGTAACATCGATACAAGTAACATTGACACCAGTAACATCGATACAAGTAACATCGATACAAGTAACATCGATACCAGCAACATCGACACTAGTAACATTGACACCAGTAACATCGATACAAGTAACATCGATACCAGCAACATCGACACTAGTAACATCGATACAAGCAAAATCGACACTAGTAACATTGACACTAGTAACATCGACACTAGTAACATTGACACCAGCAACATCGACACCAGTAACATCGATACCAGTAACATTGACACCAGTAACATCGACACCAGTAACATCGACACTAGTAACATCGACACTAGTAACATCGACACTAGTAACATCGATACAAGCAAAATCGACACTAGTAACATTGACACCAGTAACATCGACACTAGTAACATTGACACCAGTAACATCGACACCAGTAACATTGACACTAGTAACATCGACACCAGTAACATCGACACTAGTAACATCGACACTAGTAACATCGACACTAGTAACATTGACACTAGTAACATCGACACTAGTAACATTGACACCAGCAACATCGACACTAGTAACATCGACACTAGTAACATCGACACCAGCAACATCGACACTAGTAACATCGACACTAGTAACATCGACATCACTAACATCAATACCAGCACCATCAACACCAGTAACATCGATACCAGCAACATCGACACTAGTAACATCGACATCACTAACATCAATACCAGCACCATCAACACCAGTAACATCGATACCAGCAACATCGACACTAGTAACATCGACATCACTAACATCAATACCAGCACCATCAACACCAGTAACATCAATACCAGCACCATCAACACCAGTAACATCGATACCAGCAACATCGACACTAGTAACATCGACATCACTAACATCAATACCAGCACCATCAACACCAGTAACATCGATACCAGCAACATCGACACTAGTAACATCGATACCAGCAACATCGACACTAGTAACATCGACATCACTAACATCGACACTAGTAACATCAATACCAGCACCATCAACACCAGTAACATCGATACCAGCAACATCGACACTAGTAACATTGACACCAGTAACATTGACACCAGTAACATCGACACCAGTAACATCGACACCAGTAACATCGACACTAGTAACATTGACACCAGTAACATCGATACAAGTAACATCGATACCAGCAACATCGACACTAGTAACATTGACACCAGTAACATCGATACAAGTAACATCGATACCAGCAACATCGACACTAGTAACATCGATACAAGCAAAATCGACACTAGTAACATTGACACTAGTAACATCGACACTAGTAACATTGACACTAGTAACATCGACACCAGTAACATCGACACTAGTAACATTGACACTAGTAACATCGACACCAGTAACATCGACACTAGTAACATCGACACTAGTAACATTGACACTAGTAACATCGACACCAGTAACATCGACACCAGTAACATCGACACTAGTAACATCGACACCAGTAACATCGACACTAGTAACATCGACACTAGTAACATTGACACTAGTAACATCGACACCAGTAACATCGACACTAGTAACATCGACACTAGTAACATTGACACTAGTAACATCGACACCAGTAACATCGACACTAGTAACATCGACACCAGTAACATCGACACTAGTAACATCGACACTAGTAACATTGACACTAGTAACATCGACACCAGTAACATCGACACTAGTAACATCGACACTAGTAACATTGACACTAGTAACATCGACACCAGTAACATCGACACTAGTAACATCGACACTAGTAACATTGACACCAGTAACATCGACACCAGTAACATCGACACTAGTAACATCGACACTAGTAACATCGACACTAGTAACATTGACACTAGTAACATTGACACTAGTAACATTGACACCAGTAACATTGACACTAGTAACATCGACACCAGTAACATCGACACTAGTAACATCGACACTAGTAACATTGACACTAGTAACATCGACACCAGTAACATCGACACTAGTAACATCGACACTAGTAACATCGACACCAGTAACATCGACACTAGTAACATTGACACTAGTAACATTGACACTAGTAACATCGACACCAGTAACATCGACACCAGTAACATCGATACCAGCAACATCGACACTAGTAACATCGACATCACTAACATCAATACCAGCACCATCAACACCAGTAACATCGACACCAGTAACATCGATACCAGCAACATCGACACCAGTAACATCGATACAAGCAAAATCGACACTAGTAACATTGACACTAGTAACATCGACACTAGTAACATTGACACCAGCAACATCGACACCAGTAACATCGATACCAGCAACATCGACACTAGTAACATCGACATCACTAACATCAATACCAGCACCATCAACACCAGTAACATCGATACCAGCAACATCGACACTAGTAACATCGACATCACTAACATCAATACCAGCACCATCAACACCAGTAACATCGATACCAGCAACATCAACACCAGTAACATCAATACCAGCACCATCAACACCAGTAACATCGATACCAGCAACATCGACACTAGTAACATCGACATCACTAACATCAATACCAGCACCATCAACACCAGTAACATCGATACCAG